GTTTCGGGGCAGTTCAGGGTCCAAACAGAACCGAGGGTTAGAGGGTCCTGAATTAGCCCGAACATATGCACGGGACGGTTCAGTGAACCGATTCGAAACAGTTCAAGATCGGTCCTGTTCAATTAAAAAAGTAAAAATAATTAAAAAATAATTAAAAAAAAGTCGAAGCGCCGATTCTGACTTTGAACATAAATTATAAATATGTTGATCGAAACCGGCTCAGTCAAACCACGGGCTAGATTCAAAGTCCATTGATCACGGGTCGGTTTCAGACCGGGCCTGGCATTGTTAGTCTGTGTAAATCTCAAATGGTTGACTTAAAAAAATTTGATGAAAAACTTAAACTTGAAAATTAAAGATTGCCCTCGAGGTAGTGTTGTTTCCTAAATATGACATTCAATTTTATAGGAGAAAATTACTTTTTAACATAGAAATTTGATTTAAAAGTTTGAGAAAATTTGTTTAAATGACGAGTAAATATTTATTTGTTTGTTGTATGATCATATTATGCGATACTTATCCCAAGGAAACTAATGTAGTTTATTAAACTTTAAAGTTTTTTACTATAGTTCTTTTTATTATACGTTAAAAAAATTAAATCGACAGTTGTAAAGAAAAAAGAAAAAATAATATTGATAAGCTCACCTAATATTAATTTGTTTTTTCAGATTGTCCATATTAAGAAAAAAAAAAATATGTACACAATTACGATTATCGTGTTTTCTTAGTCTAAAAATAAAATCGTGATAGACTCAAGTAAATAAAGAGACAATAACGTACTAATGGATCATGTTGACGAGCGATCGCCTACGTTCCTAAATTCAGAGATTAAAGGTAGCTAAGTGATGTATGAAGAAGTGTTTGATATGATAGTTAGCTAATATAGGCTTGTGTAATGAAACAACATACGATTTCGTCGATTTGCTGGGAGATTGACAAGGATAAAGGTTCTCCGCTGAAAATGACTAGCAATAGTTTAGTATTACAATGATTATCGCTACGCGGGCTTGTGTATGCTAGTGTGTTTTTATATGTTTAGCTTTTTTAGCTTGTCCTTAAGTGAAGTGCGGATGGGTCACCTTTATACAAGAAAAAAAGTAAAGTGTAATAATGATTATGAGTCAGCTTGATTGGTAAAGAGGAGGACGAGTGAAACCATGCAAAAGTTCATCTTTTAAGGACATGACGTTTTTTTGCAGGTTTGCAAGAAATGACCGGTTTAGACGGCGATACGAGACCTCTCATGCGGTGGTATCAGCATATTTAACGGCTTTACTTATTCAATATATCAGAGAGCGTTGACACTCTGCAGGGCGATCGGCGGTCGGCGATTGCTGGGACCAGTAGTTGCTAGTAGAGGCAGGCAGATGATCAGCGTGTTTGTTTTGTCCCAGTGTTGGGCCTATCATATCAACGTTCTTGGGCCTAGGTTGTGTTTTAGAATTAATAGTTCGTGCTTATGTGGTAATCGTACTGGCTGCTCGAAGACGCTTTGATAGGATTATTAGTATCGACCAAATAAAGACCCATAAAACCAAGACCAAACGAGTTCTAAAGACCGAAATTAGCATAGTCTCGGGTGGACCAAATTGAGGACCTTCGACCTCCGGCTCGACCAAGTGATATAGCCTTGGGTCGAGACTGCTCGACCGAGCAGTATGGTCTTGGGTCGAGCAGCCCAATGGTCGACCATTTGCGCATAGGTCGATCGGGTTAGGGGTCGATCGTTAAGTCTTAGTTCTGTGCGGTTAAACACTATATATATGGTTAATGCAACCAGAGGAAGGTAAGACATCATTTAATACAAACACTATTACATTCATTATACATTACAATCCTTTCTATTTTCTGAGATACTGATTTGGGCGTCGGAGGGTCTTGCGCTGGAGCAATTCCGGCATATTTGTAGGTACCGGCGAACTTTAGGACTTGGACCGCACTGAACCGGTAAATCCACGTTTGAATTAGAGAAGACTTTTTGGAAAACTGGAGCCACTCATTTCGGACCATATCACGCTTTATATGTTTATACAACAGATCAAATGTTCACAATGGTTATTTGCAACATTTGTATCATAACTATGCTTCTATATTAACCAAATGTGAAAATTCTCATGTGAACAATGTAACTGAAAAGATGCGTAGAGTTGTGTCAAGTCCAAAAATAGGCCTGGATAATAGTTTTCACATTGTTGGGTAAAACAACTAAATTCCACATCGGTTATATATTAAGTTTGTTACATATTTATAATTGTGGATATATATCGATAATCATAAGGTGTCTCGAGTATAAGCCTCAAAACAAAAAAATTATGAACCAAATTGTCCGTTAACTAGATTATTAAATCTCAAAAATTTTGTCAATCAATGAAAATATATACATATACTATCATTTAGAAAGAATAAGAGAAAATAAAATATTTTACAATACAAATATATATATATATATTAAAAAATGTGATAAGTTTGCAGCTCTATTTTCATAAAAACCAAACATATGTTTCGTGTGTGAATGGTTGTAGTCCATGTCAAGTTTTAGGCATATTTAGAGCATCTCTAATGGATTGTTAATTGTAGAAATGTGAAAGAAGTTCAATAAAAAATATATCTCCAACGGATTGTTAATTGTAGAAATGTGAAAGAAGTTCAATAAAAAATATCTCCAAATATCTCCAACCGTGAATGTCTAGATTCTATTCATAATGACATGGCAAGAGAGAGAGAAGGAATCTATACTTATATTAAAAGGTATACCATTTACCAAATTTAGTATATAAAGAAAAGTCAACAACATTTATTCCATTACTATTTCCGTATTATACAATCTATACTTATATAAAAGGAGATTCTATTTACTACATTTACTATCCAGAAAAGTCAACTGCATTAAATGTCATTACTATTTTGGTATTATAATATTTTATTTATTTAATTGATTTATTTTATTTATTTTATTTTAAAAGGTAAGTATAATAAAAGGATTTTAATAATAAAAAAACCAAGTACCAAATAAAAATGTACACTTTGACTTATTTGATTATATTTGGTATTTGATTATACCAAATATATTCCTATTTAGTATATACATTAAATACTTACTAAAGTATTTATTTGTTTTATTTGTCAAAGTTAAGTATAGATTTGTTTATATTATCAAATCATAAAAAAATTTTAAATCCATATTGTAAAAAAAAAAATCATATAATTTTATAACAATTCTATTACACTATTTAACAATATTTCTTTTTTATTATATAGTAAAATAATAATTAAATATTATATGGTGAACAACAATAAGTAAAACTGTTACTTTCTCTTATATCAAATGGATAAATTTATATGCTAAAATTAAATTTGTATTAGTATAAATATAGTAAGATAATATATTAATTATTTTACAAGCTAGCCCTAACATGCTCATATTTAATGTTTTAAAAGATGTAGAAAAAAAACTTATAATAACTCTATTGTTTTTTGGACTTAAATGTTGATTAAAAGAGGTAAAAGTTCCTAATTTTTTAGACTTAAACGTTGATTAACACCATAGGTTGAGAGTTTATATTTAGTAAAATTCCTAATTCTAATAAAGAAGTTAATTTTTGCTATATTTTAGAATATCTTTAAATTCATTATAAAAAAAAAAAGAGAAAAAAAAAACTATTGAAAAAAGCAAGTCAGCTATATATCGATTTGTTGTACTCCTCAAATCACATTCACAATTTGGCTACAAGGAGAGGAAACTCATTGATTAAAATATTATTTTGTCAGTAGTCTTAATGTACAGGAGACTTTAAGACTCCACTTGAATATTATAAAACTTTTATTAAACATTGTACAATTTTCTTGCGTATTATAAACTTTTATTGAATATTGCATCTTATAATATAATATTTTTCAAATAAATATATCTTCGCACGGATCACGTACTATATATATCCCGTACATTTTTCTTTATTCATATATATACTTATAATCCTGGATAAATAGTCTTGTGCACCCCGTGCATTGCATGGGCTCTGTACTAGTAAATTCTAAAACTCCTTCTACATAGAAGGAATAAATTCTAAAACTCCTTCTACATGTAGAAGTCATGTTAGACATGGTGATCCATATTTTCTAAGTTGAATAAACAAACTATTGGAGACTTTTTATATGTTTGAACATCTATTCCTTACACGTAGATGGAAGACCATCTATTAGTTGCCACATACACTACAATTCATGCTTGCCATTGGAAATGCTATTAGAGCACCCACAATGCTTTGAGTCTCTTTTTGTATATGTGGCATATAATTGGACTTGGGTCTTAAATGACATGGACAAACTCAAGTAAAAAAACTCAAAAACTTTGCATGCAAAAATAAACATATTAGTCTAGCATTCATGCCAACCAATAAAAATGCTCTAATATATGTTTTCTTTATTAAAAGAAAAAAATTAAATTAAGAATAAATGATGAGTGTTTGGGTTTGTACTTGGGTCCAAAATAAACTCAAGTGTGGATTTAGTCTCTTTTTTTTATTGCCACATAAGGTAGGCCATGTTCAATTTTAATTGCATTGAGAAACATTTTTTTATTGACTAAGTATGTGATTTTTTGTTAAGAGACCTAAAACATTGTGGGTGCTCTTAAGAAAGTGGGAGGAACTGCAAAGGGCCCCATTTTAATATGATCCATCCGCTGTTAAATTATTTCTTCGCCTCTACAGCTTTTCATATTTAATCTAGTATTTTATTTAACTGCCATGCCATACCCCATCACTTTCTGAGCCTTTTCTCTGGCCCATATTCATTGACACAGCGTAAAGTCCAATTTAAATTAAAGTTGGAACATAATTAATGATTTTGTTAATTTACGAGTTTGCCCTCCAGTTTTGCTTGTTACCCCTCCTAGGGTNATTAAATAAATAAATACAAATTGAATTTAAAATATAAAAGAACAGGAAAAAGTAGAAACAAGCCAATGGGCTCATCTCCTCAAATAAATAAGCCCCCATCATATGCCCTCCGATCCCCAAATCCCTAAAATGACAAATCCCATCTCATCTGATTTCCCCTCCGCCACATCCACCGCCGTCAAGCTGACTCACCACGGCGGCGACCACCAGTCCTTGCTCCCTGGTCTCCCCGACCACATAGCCCAGATATGCCTCTCCCTCGTCCCGCCGTCGGTCCTCTACTCCGTCTGCCGTTCGTGGCGCCGCCTCATCTACTCCCAATTCTTCCCTCCATTTCTCTCCCTCTACGCCGTCGCCTTTCCCTCCGCCGCCGCCGTCCCGCCGGACACCTTCCCAGACCCCATTGAATTCCTATCCTTCGACCCCATCTCCCGCCGCTGGTGCCTCCTCCCCCCGCCACCCTCCGACCCCGACCCGCCGCGCTTCCTCTTCCGCCACCCCACCTTCATCTGCCGCGACATGCCCGTCCAGTCCGTCTCCGCCGCCGGGACCCTCGTCGTCCTCGCCGCCACCGACGATCTCTTCCTCCCCGCCCTCCCCCGCCCACTCGTCTTCGATCCCCTCGCCGGATCCTGGAGCTGCGGCCCGCGGATCCCCGCGCCCCGCCGCTGGTGCGCCGCCGGATTCTCCGGCGGCGCCGTCTACGTCGCCGGAGGGATTGGAGCGAGCTACAGCTGCGGCGTCGCCCGATCTGCTGAGCGGTGGGACATCGCCCGCCGGCCGCCGCCGGAGGCGGCGGCGTGGCGGAGGTTGGCGGACCTGAGGGACGGGAAGTTCAGCCGAGACGCGGTGGAGGCGGTCGGGTGGAGGGGGCTGTTGTGCATGGTGAGCGCGAAGGAGGGGGTGGTGTACGACCCGGCGGCGGACCGGTGGCGGGAGATGCCGGCGGGGATGCTGGCAGGGTGGAGGGGGCCGGTGGCATCGATGGAGGAGGAGACGATCTACGTGGTGGACGAGGCGGCGGGGGTGCTGAGGAGGTACGACGGGGAGGGGGATGCTTGGCGGGACGTGGCGGCGAGCGGGCTGATGAGGGGGGCGCAGAAGTTAACGGCCGGCGGCGGGAGGGTGTGCGTGCTGTGCGGCGGCGGGGAAAAGATCGTGGTGGTGGACGTGGCGGGGCCGCCGCCGGCGAGGATGTGGGTGGAGGATGTGCCGCCAGGGATACAAGTGGTTGGGATTCATATACTGCCAAGATTGGTTAATTGATTCATCTTTTTTTTTTTAGTAACACGAAATTATGCTTTCATTTGTAGTAATTTTGTGACAGGAATACAAAATTATCTTCTTTTTCTGGCTTAGCTTTTTCTTTTTCGGCAATTTTTTTTTGTGGTCAGGAAACAAATAATTGATTTTTTATGGGCTTAGTTGAAAATGGAGCAGATGTAGTTGTTGCGTATGATGTTAGCAGAAAAGGGTTTACTTATTCAGCTAAACGACAAAACAATGCTTTTGTACATTGACTACATTCCAAAATTGTTAGTACTACCATAATTGATTTTTTTGTATTTTAAATGTTCAATCTAATTAGATTGTGTGCCTAATTTAGACTGTTTATCTAATTTAGATTGCCTTCAAAGGCTTCAAAGGCTTCATATTATACCCTTCATATAGATTGGTCATATTTTTTTAACAAAAATGTATAATTATATTATAAAAATATTATGATTTTGTTCGCAAATTTCTCAAAGTATGTTATTCAGTTTAAAAATATTAATATAGGTTGAATAAGTTTTAGTATTCAACCGTTAGTTAGCCGACTTAATACAATTTACTAAAAAAAAAACCAGTGGAATTATTGTATTGGACGAGAAGACAAAAACTTTAAGTAAGAAAATTTCATTACAAATTTCAGGACAAAAAGGAAAAGAAAACATGCATTTATTTTGCAATTATCTGTAGCATATATATTTCTCTCTTTTAGTGCTCAGAATCAGATTACAATAATTAGGAGAATTCGAGTTTTCTTCACAACGAATTCTTCTAATTTCCACATTTTTTCATCAGCCATTCAAATAAAACACTTTTAATCAGCCAATAAATCAACAAACAAACAATTAAATAAATCATCATATTCAATTCACTCAGTCAAAAACAGCACAAGGTCACCTTTTTCCTATGTCAAAAAGCAGAAAAAAAAAAAATCTTCAATCTCCCTGCAATTAAACCCTCAAAAGCACGGATCAGTAAAGATTCATCGAGTCGCCGGAAAAACGAGCTGAAAAGCGAAGGATACGATGTACAAAAACACCGGAAAATACGTCGGAAGCCACCGCCCAACCAGCTCCTCCTCCTCCTCCGCCGCCACCGCCGCAGGTAGCGCATCTATTCCTTACCACCCGCTCCACCACCAAATCACGATCCCTTTCTCTTCTGGCGGCGGCATAGCTGGCGACGATGATTTCTCGAGGAGGGACAAGAGGTTCCCCCAATGGGGCAACCAGGAAACGAGGGATTTGATTGAAATTAGGGCTCAATTTGAGGTGGAGTTGGCGGCAGAGGAAAGGGACATGAATTTGTGGGAAGCTGTGGCTAATGGGATGAGGGTAAAGGGGTACAGGAGGACACCTGAGCAGTGCAAGGGAAAATGGAAAGATCTTGTTAGCAGATATAAGGTATATGCTAATGTATGCTTTGTTATACATGTGCGTTGCTGAAAAATATGCTTTTAAATGTGATGATTCTTAGTTCTGTTGCTAGCTGGTTTTGTAGTTCTTTGTATGGTGTTTCAGTTTTACTTAGTCTCAATATGTTCTATAAGTTGAACTCTTGATCATGGGTATGTTGATTGTTTGAAAAATAGTGTTGTATGTAAGCCAATTTTTAGAAGCTATGTGTTTTTGATTCTCACGAAAGCCATTTGTGGATTGATAATGTTAGATTTTAAGAGATTTTCGTATAAGTGGTAGTTTGGCCTTTCGAAACACATGCTTACTTGATTTGATAAATTGAAATTCACTGTTAAATTTTTAATATTAGGGTGAGAGTGTGCGGTCCCATAGAGGTGAAAGGCGCACCTTTAGAGGCGAGCCTATGGTGCCACCTAAGTGAAGTTCCATTCCGAAACCAATTGGTGATGGGACTTTTTGTGGTGAAGATTGTAATTTATTACATGAACTATCTGTATATATTTTTATGTTTCAATTTCTAGATTGTTTCTCATTGTTGAATCTTCTTTCTGCTTTCATGTCCAATGGTGGATTATGAATAAGAGTATAATATGTTGAGCAGAATGCATTATATGCTGCCTGTTTGGCTGCGTGGCTGATGAATTTTATTCCTTTACATGTTATACAAACTTGGTTGCTATGAACTTCCTTTTGTGATATATTTATTGGAAAATTGTTTTTCTTGATCAGTGAATATTTTATTTTCCATAAGGAGTTTAAGGGGGAATGCCATGGAGATTTTAATTGCTCGAGAATTTGTTTTGTAGTTTATACATTTAAGTCACTTTTAATCTTGACATCCTGTTTGGTGGGAGAGGATGATAATTGGCATTTTTGGCCAAATTGACGGGACTTATGTTTCTGAGACATTTGCCGAATGAGGCCTATCCAAATGTGAGAAATAATGTCGAGTTATTGTCCTTGTTAAGGTTTCTATGTAGCATTGAAATTTTTAGTTGTTTGAAAATCAATGGTATTCTGTACCTACCTCCTTGTGCTTTTACATTGGCTGATGGTTTTATTGTTCTCCTCTATTTGCAAAATTATGCAGCAGTTAGGTTGTCATCTAAATATGCAATTTCTAGAATAGTAATGATTAATGAAAGCAGATAATTTATAGATACTACATGTTGTTTCTCGGCCCCCCATCTTGATTGCTTTTGAGAAAAAAAGTAATCACAAAATTCTTGTGTGAGACAACCGAAAAATTAGATGAGTCTGACCCGTCATGCATTTATAACCAAATGCATATTTTATGTTACCAAATATCATACTTGTGTAACTTCGTTTATTTTTATACGATATTTCAGTTTGAAAGTATTGTATATTTGTGCACAAAATATGAATTTGAGCATTTTATTTTTTATTTCAGTCTTGCTTTCTAAAATCTAAACATACAGGAGCACGAAACATTGGCTGCAGATAATAATATTCGGCACTGCCTGTTCTTCGACGAGCTCCATGCAATCTTCACAGCAAGGTCCAATCATACGCAGCCACCTCACCCCACTGCGACCGCTCGCGAAAACCAATCCCGTGAAGAATTCTCGCAAGAACCGGACAACGAACAAGAAACTGACCCCGAACATTCCCCCAAAACAAGAATACCTCCAAAACGAAGACAAAAAACAGCAGAAATCGAAAATCACCCGACACCATCTCATAAAACCGATCTCGACAGCCTTCACGAGATTATGAAGACTTTCATTGTGAGTCAACAGAGGATGGATATGCAGTGGATGGAGTCCATGGAAAAATACGCTAAGGAAAGGGAGCTTTTGGAGGACGGGTGGCGAAAAAAGATGGAAGGTCTAGAGAGAGAGAGGCTGATGTTGGAGAGGGCCTTTAGAGAGAGAGAGGAACAGCGGCGGTTGAAGGAGGAGAGTCGGGCAGAGAAAAGGGACGAGCTTTTCACGATGCTTCTGAACAAGCTCATTCGTGGGGATAATTTGTGAGTTTTTGGCTTTGCTTAGAATGAGTTTTGTCGTAATTCGGTCTCGGCATTTTCATTTTGGTTCTTTTATGCGATTGTGTTTTGGTACACTAGTGAAAGAACAGAACATAATTGGGGCAAGGGGAACTGTTTGTGACTTAAACTGTATGTATACATAGATTCTAAAGGAATTTGTCAAACTGGGGAAATGGTGTACAGAATTTGTAAGGTTTGGTGGCGGGAAAAATGAATGAAGAGATTTATGTCATTATGTGTATGCTGTAATTAGAACTACAGCTCTTAGCAAAGACTGGTGATTTTCTTTTTTTAGAATCACATTTGTAATTGCAAGTAATACTGTTTTTGTGCAATTAGGTTAGGCTGTGGTTTATTGTTTGCAGTGTAAAAAAAACATTATGTTGTAATTTTTTAATTAACACCCGTACAATACATGGTATTATACTACAACATAAATTCTATAAGGCAACATAATTTTCTATAACTCAACTTGTTAAAAGTTGTGTTCGATTCGTTAAGGCTCGAGTTCAATTTATTAAGAAAAATGCTACATTACCAACCTAGTGTACAACTAGGTTGACAACATAAGTGAAAACATTCACTTGTGTATTTTTTTTTTATTTTTAGTTTTTTAAATGTTTTCACGGTATTGTCAACCTAATTGTACACTAGGTTGGTAATGTAGCATTACCCATTTATTAATGTTGATAGGTGGATCAAGATCGAACTCGTTTATCAGTTCATTTAGTTAACAAACCCAACTCAATAGTATAATCTTGATACTGTTAATTTGTGTTAGTTAACTCCACGTTCTTTAGGGAAAAAAAAAATATCTTCTTTAGTTAGTAGTAAGAACTAAGAAGCTACTTAGACCATCTACAATGGGGTTGCTTAACTGATTGCTTAAAAATAAGCAATTGCTATTTAAGCAATTTCCCATTGTGAAGAGAAGACAAGCAATTGCTTAGATTAAGCAATTGCTTGAATAAGCAATCCACAAGCAATCAGAATTTGTGGGCCAATGAACCAGAAAACGGCGCAAGACATGAGAGAGAGGATGAGAAATCCAAAATTGCTTCAACCAGAATTTAAATTCACCATTGTGGGATTGAATTGCTTAAATCATAGAATTGCTTAATGGCACAGGGTCCCACAAAAATAATACTAAAATATTCTAAGCAATTGCTTATTAAGACAACCATTGTACATGGTCTTATATTGTATAAAAGCATGTCCAACATTCGCTTAATTAAACAGTGTTT